GGGGGGGGGTCCACCATGGCTCATCTTGCTGCCCGGAGGGGGAGGGCCTGGGGCTGACCGCTGCAGCTGCTTCTGGGAGTGGCTGCAGTGATCAGCCAGCACTTGCAGGGGGACCACTGGCGCTCCTCCCTAAACCCCCTGCCCATCACCTAAGTGGCAAGCGTGGCCAATCAAGGGATGCATGTGTACCCCCCCCCCCATGCACCCCCTACGCGTTGCCACTATTCATAGCAAGCAAAGTCTGTTAACATAAGTCATCTTTTCTGGTCAATTCCATCATGGATGACGGAACATTATGATACCATAATTCTTTTTAGTATTTTCAATCAAACAAAACATTTCAGTGTTCCTTTACCTGCACAGTACTGTTTATACCATTCAGTAAGTTTGCAAGTGTTTTCAAGGCTTTTGTGAACAAAGGAATTTTTAAACTGAGGGACAAAGCACAGCAGGTATGAATACTAGAGGTCCCTCTGCAGTTTGCATTTTGACACTGAGACAGACTACACAAGTGCAGGACTTCACAGCTAGAAGTTCAGCTCTTCTCCCCACTACAACCTCTCCATACCACCCAATACGTCTTGGCTGGTACTAGTCTTCAAAGAACTCCATCCAAATATATTTTCATGATTAAAAGAAAGATTAGAGCTTCTAAACAATCAGTTAACTTGCTCCTGTCACAACGTTTTCCAAAAGCTCAGGTGGAGATCTAACCAGCATGGAAACGCCATTTCAAGGAAATGTTTAATTTTGTACAGTGGGATTTGATACTCACGGTTTTCCTCCTGGGATGCCTGTCAGACTCGGAGGGATGCCTGGGACTCGCATGTGATGATGTGGATCAAAACCAACCTGCAGTTTTCCCCAAGCAAAACAAAAAAAAAAGGGGGGGGGGGGGGGGGGGGTATATTAAGCATGGAAATAAACAAAACAAAAAAAATGTAGTTCCATGGCCTTCCTCCGAAACTGGAGATAGGCTGGACTACATTCAGCCCTGCATGTCTTTATTTTAGCTCACAGTTCCTGAACTCTAAATACAGCTTTGTTCTCTGAGGCAGGAACTTACCACTGGAGACCTCCCGTAAGCTGCCGCTGCTGCTGCCGCTGCAGCTGCTGCACTCATTTGAGGGGAAATGTTATGTAGACCAGCATACGCAGCTCCTGGACTGGTTAGTTCACCATTCATGCCGGCATGTGGCACAATTCCAAATGGAGCAGGGTAAGGACATGGTACTGCCATGGGGGTCCTTAAGCCTGAAGCTACGGAGGGAAAGAAAAAGAGAGCTAACAAACCAAAGAGAGAGAGAAAAGAAAAAGAAAAAACAATTCAACAAGAAGTCTGGGGAGCAGTAAAACATTGCTTAGTTTAAACACTGGAAAACCAACTCAGGGCTCTGCATAAGCAGGTATATAAAATGTTTGTGCAGTTCTTCACTTAAAAGGATGCTCACCTCCTCTTGGAAAAGAACAACGCAAATAAAAATCAAAGACGCAGGGGGCACATCTACATGAAACGCTGATTGTGCAGTAGCCAACAACTACTGCGCAGTAGTGCGTCACAGCACAGACAGTGCTAATATACTACTGTGCAGTATTATTAGGCTACTGTGCAGTATAGTCACCTAAAGGATGTTTCCCAGCACATTTATTTAGTACTTGCTAGTACAAGTACTAAATAAATGCACAGTAACAACCGAGCAGTAGCATCTTGTGTAGACATGCCCAGGGCGTAGTTTTATAAAGCTCTGAAAAAAATAGATGCAATTGTTACTTACCCAATGGGTCGACTCCTGGGGGTTTTCCAGGCACTGGCCTCAATCCAGGAGTAGAATTGCTGCCTGGAGTTGGAGCATCAGTCCGTGGAGTTGGGGTATTTGATTTAGACACAGGAGTAGTGGATTTCTCATTCTAATTATAAAGTAAGACAGTGAAAGGCAGTTATTTATTTTACTTTCAGGCTTCTTAATTAGCAGCTCTAGATACTGTAGATGAAAATCAGGATGTGGTTTGATTTGTGGAAGCTAATTTTAATAGTAGTCACTGGCAATGCTGAGCAGCAGGCATGGCTAATTAAAAGGAAAGGAAGGCTTCAGGAATCACCATAAGAATTCATAGCTCTGGTCTGTTAGGCCCCCAATATGACTCCTGATAAGATCCGTAACTGAAAATCATTGACATATTTCACCATAATATTATGATATCATGAAATTTGTTGGTGATGTGTCTGCTCCTAGTGGACATGTACACATCACAACTAAATCAGGGTTACTGGCAGTTTCACTGATAGGCCAAAGTCTGAATGGACAAGGAGTCTGTAATAAATCAACTTGTCCCCAGAGACAATTCCTGTCAGACAGAGCTGAGGAACAATGGCTGGGGTACCATGAGGAATTTTGCATTTCTGGCCATGTTGCGGCCTGCCTATTCAATGGACAAACAGTTAACTCCTCTATTTAAAACACGTCTCTCTCTCTCCCATACACATCTTTCCTCAGTCCTGAATTTACTTTTGAGAATTTTAAAATAATTTGAAAAGTGCAAGTGCCCTAACATGCAAAGAATTGAGAGGAGTTACAATACAGCTCAGAACCATGATTAACTGTAGTCACAAAAGAGAAAGAAGAATACCCCTGACTTGCAAGCAGCCTTTTTTTGCATTGTGATTTGTGATGCAAGTCAAGGATGGCTGTTGTAAATGGCAGATTACTTTATTCATAGAAAATGAAAATTACTGTAGTTGTATATGGCCTGGTAATTCAAACAAAGCTAACAACCAAATTGCATCCAAACAGGAAACTGAATTTACTATAAACCATAGCACAAAATAAATAAATAAATATAAACCTCAAGCAAACTGTGTGTACTCTTATTTATCCATAGAATTATGGGTCTCTATCCTTCCCCACATGAAAATCCATCACAGTGTAGACACATCTATCATCTATCTAACCTGGTAGTCAAATAAAGCCTTTCTATCCCAAGGAAGGGCTTTGGATTTTTTACCATATTTTTATTCAACCCAGCACACTTTCATTTAAAGGTGCAATGAGATCTGATCCCCGATTCCAACAATCTCACTTTCTGCCATACTACCAAGCTAGTGCAAGGGAAGTCCATGCTCATGATCCTAGGCTCCCTTTGTGTGAGCAAGTTTAAAACTGGGTGCCCACAAGTCTAGAGCTGGGGTCAACCGCTGGCTGACCCACCAGGAGCTGATTCAAGAGCCCAGTACAGTCTCTGACTGGATCTAACAATCAGTTGATTGTTGGTCCCTGGCTAGATTCAATAATCAGTTGTGCTAGCCCCAACCCGCTTTATGTTCAATTCAAGGCACCATACAAACCAACCATAAAAATGCTCTACATATAAAAGACAAACAACATACAACACAGAACATTTTTATACCTGGTTTAGCATTTTCTGGAACCTTAAACTGGGTGTACATGTAGTAAGTACTCTTGCCACTCATGTCATGATTAACACATCAATCACGGCATAAACATAGTGTGTAGAAGGGCCTAAGGGATTTTTAAAAAGTAGTACCATGTCTCATTGTGTCTTACTAGTTGGATGAATGTGCAAATCAGTGTACCATCACAGCTCAGAAGGGTTCCAAACCACTTACAAGGCTAAGTTCTTTGGATTTGGAGGAAGGAGTACTGCTGGAAGATGCAATAGAAGCTGGGCTAATTGGTGCATCTTTCTTGAGCAGTCGGGTCTTGTCCAAGCCATTCTCTCTTGGAGAATGTGCTGGGCTCCCCCGTGGAGAAGAAGGATCCTAGAAGTGAAGAATATGGTTTAATATAATGTCCTATTAGTGGCACATAGCATCTGGCTTCAGCAATTCAGACTTTTGGAGAAGGGCTCTTATTACTGGTACACGTCACAGGAACACTTAACAATTAGTTAATACAATTTTAAAATCTAGACGAATAGTGAAGTAAAACTTTCTGTTCTTTCCAGTTAAAACTGGAGGTCATTAAACAACTGCTACACGAAAATATAAAAATAGCAGAGGATTTTATTTCTCATTTTGCAGGTGGGAAACTGAGACACACAAGGTTAATTTTCCTGTTTGGTGTCTGACAGTATGTAAGTCTCAGGACAGGAAAAGAACACAGTACTGATGACAATCAGTGCCACTCAACGGTAGGCTGTACTGCTTTAAGAGGACTGAGATAGACTGCTTAACTGCAAAAACAGTAAAGAAAACCTTGTTTGAAAAAAAAAAAGTTAGAGTCAAAAGGTTTTTTTGTATTAGAAAGATATAAAAAAGACCAGATTAACCTGTTCTGAGGATAAAAAGGCAGAATTTCAGTCATGCAGTTAACAGACACTGAAGCTAGATGCCCCATTACTGTAATGTACAGAAAGTGATGTACCATACCTCATTGGAGACGTCAACCACCAAGTTGTCATCGCTCTTTTCACCATCGCTGTCCTGAAACGACACAGTGAAATTCTTAAAAAGATATTCAAAACATATTTCTCGCTTTCATAAAATCAAAAATATCTATTCAAATATAAAGCATCACATAGCTATTTTATACATCCAGTTTCTCTGGTTTGAGTTAAGTCAATAATTAAAAATTACAAGGTCTCTTTTTTATACAGCGTTTTTCACTGGTAGAGCTCAAATTGCTTTGTCTATAAATTAAGCCCATATCACAGCCAGAAAAATGGAGGCAGAAAGTGGGGAATGCATTTGTCCTACATCACTCAACAGGCAGAGGCAGAGCAAGGATAGAACCCAAATCTCTGAAGTCTGGTGTTCTAGCTAATCCATCCCATTATCTCCTAGATGCTCTACCTTTTCACAGGACAAAAGACTGACTGGTGCCGAACCTCTATAACTTCCACTTAGCTTAGCTGAAACCGTAACTGCTCAGTATCTGCTTGGATTTTGCTCAGAGATTTAGAAGATATTCAACAGGATTGGGTTACTGAAACTGTAGAAACAACTTAGACTAGCAATTCAGTGGAAAAAATTTCACTCACATAACGAGTTGCTATTTCTTTCTCTTCCGTTTTCTGCTTTTTACTCTCTGAAGAGTAATCTGTTGAGTTTCTGTGCTTCTCTGCTGTTCTGAAACTGGCTGATGGAGACACAGAAGAGCTCTGAAATGAGACAGGAGAGGAAAAAAAAATATAACCGTACACTTAATGCTGCCTAATTTTCTGGTATCACATGTTGTTTATTATATTATTACCATTAAAGACCATCTAAAGCAGGTGTTAGTGGTAGTACTGATGATTTTGAGGAATTCTGATGGATAACAGTTTGGGCTTTAAGCAATGATAGCTAACTAGTAATGACACTGAAATCATTGCTAGACACCTTTCTATAATTCATTAGTGGAACACTACAGAGTTGAGAGCCAAAGTGTCACTGTGATGGATTTGGAGCTGGCATACATACATACATACACAAGAAATAATATATAACTAAGGTTAATTCAATAAAGAGCTGTCAAAAACAAGAAGAAAGGAAAAGAATGGCTCAGGATAAGTTATCCCTAAGTAAACTTTTGAAAGAATATGTCAGTATCAGATGGTTGAGGATCTGGAACATATTTCCAATAGGAGTAGCAAAAAAACCTGGCTACACAAAGATGGCACTCAGTACTTTTATTAAAGGGATTACATGACATGGTTGCCTGTGATAAGAGGGGATGGCATTTGATGCCCCAGGAGATTCCTTCCAGTTCTATGTTCCTGTGAGAGCCATTGAGGAACAATGCCAGACCCATCAGTCTTGATGATTTTTCAGCCAATGTCACCCAATCTATAAGATTTTTTTGACCAAAAGGATCAAAGTTTGAGAACACAGATGAATGACAGAACTGAATCTGGGTTTAAAAATAATCTGTATGCAAAAGAAGTAGTTGTTTGAGGTAATATGAACTCAGGGTGCTTTAAAAAGTTCACAGGATCACAGAATCATAGAAAAATCAGGGTTGGAAGGGATATTAGGAGGTCATCTAGTCCAACCCCATGGTCAAAGCAGGACCAGCCCCAAGTTGACCATTCCAGCCACAAATGAAGAACAGACTTGTAGGCAATGTAGGCATGAAGACTGCTTAGCAATTTAAAATCTGTTTTGCTCTTGAGATCTGTTCTTGCTAAAAGACAGACAATATTTTTCTTTTTAAGATGGAGGCATGATCACCATTTATCAACAGACTTCCATGGTAAAGAACCACAAATGTCCCACATTAAGCTGGACCATTGACACACATGGTTATCAAGGGTAAATCATTGATGCAGATGTCCTGGACACTGAGCAAAACTGTGAAATTTCATCTTGGGGTAGGAAAAGCAAAAGGTTCAACAGCCACAGGGGTACACTCAGCAAGACAAGAAAAGAGAGAAAGGTCAGCTATAAGTATGCTGTAACTATGACAGCCCTCTTTAATGATAAAGAATACAGCCATGGTTCCTTATTTAAGTAAGAGGCAGGGGGGAATGGGAGATGGAAGGAGGTGAAATAGAAAATAAAACAATTTGTACTATATGTATTAACTGACTATATGTCTGTTCAGTTGCTGGGAACTGGAAATGGAACACATTCACTCAGGCTATTTCCAGAACTTAGTTGAGAAAGTCTGTATCCTGACATACAAACACACAAGTACATGAAACACAGGCATGTTGATTTGTTTCCAATAAGCTTAATATTTCAGGTGCTGAGCTCTCTGACCCTGGTCCAGCAGAGCAGTTATGTATGTGCTTAACTTTATCTCCCATTGAAGTCAGTGTTTACATGTTCAGAATCAAGCTTGTGCTTAAATATGTGTTACAAAACTAAAGCGGATAGGAATGAGAAAGAAAGTAGGTGCTGTCTCAACAGAAACGCTGTTGATCTATTTCTAACTAACTACAGTAAAATCCCTGCTATCCAGCATGAGTGGGGAATAGGTGGTGCAGAGTATCTAAAAATGCTGATTACCTGAGGCCATCCATTTTTGGCTGTGCATGGAGGGGGAGAAGGGAGAGGGCACCACAGCTGCACGTGAAGCAACTACAGTGTAGGGTGGCGGCAGTGGCCACCGCATGCGAGCTTCCCTCTCTCCCCGTGTCTTGCTGCCCAGCCAGAAATTCTGGTTAATAGACTGTTCTGGTTTACTCAAATGCTGGATAACAGGGATTTTACTGTAGTCTAGTTTCAAAAGAAATAACAAGATATCCAAGTGATTTTACAAGAAAAGAGGTTTTACTGGCCGCTAAGATCTATGTGTTTATACTGTCTGACATATACCCAGATATATGTTTTGTTTTTCTTTTAATTTCACACATGCTGTTATGAAATATCACAGCCACCACACTTGTTTAAGTGCCCACCTCATAAACTGATAGATAAATATCTTAAATCTTAAAAAACAAAATGCAAAATAAGAAATCAAAATTCATGTTTAAGAATGTATTGTCTTTCACTTTCTTTACTTCAAGTTGTTTCTAGACCACTAACTTTTAGAAAGGATCAGGGGATACCTAACTACAGAATTAAATTGCAGCTGCCCTTGCTGAACATGAGAATGTTTTCTTATGCTGGAATATTCCAGTCCTGGTTTCCATTACTGTTACCTGAATTTTCCCCAAGATGCTAACTCTGGTTCAGCTCACTAAGTCATGGTAGACCTAGTGGAAAACAGATGCTAGCAGCCATTGACACTTTAAGAACTGTGCCATATTGACCTATCTCATTGCACAATCTTATTGAAGTTGAATTTTGGGCCATTATGTTCTCCTATAGGCTGAGCTGCCTGGCAAACTATTTCCTACAATGCAATGTGGATTTCTCTTTGACTAGAGTCTTATAGGAGTCATGAAACTCTGAGATATTATAGAAGATGTAGTCAAGCCCAGGAGAATGGCCCATATGGACAACAGATATCAGGATCCCAGATTATAACTCCCCACTGAGGAAATGTGCCGTAATGGAGAAAATGTAAATTTAATTTTTAATGGACCCAAAAATCAAACATGACAACTTCACATTGAAAGGGAACATTTTGATCTTGGGAATGTCAAACTATTTAATTGAATCAATACAAAGTATTTTTTGATGTTCAAACTGATTTTTCAAAAATGTTTTGGGGGAAAAAAAAAAAAAAAAAATCAGAATTTCAATTTTTTTCGTCTTGACCCGACGTGAAGACTAAATGTTAGAACATGGGGATTTTCTGCAAAATTAAAATTCCCCAAATTTCCTTAACTCAACCCAGCCCACTTAAATAAAAGCTGCAAGTCTCTTATTAAAGCAGGATCAGGGCAAAATTATGTAGACTTCATTAAAAGCTGGCACCATTTTTTCATATTCCAGTACTTCTTTAAAACATTAAGGCCCTAAAAATCAGGACAGCACACAAGCACATTCTTAACCCGAAGTACAGATGCTGACTTCCACTGATTTCACAAGGATTTACGCAAAGATAGGAGTTTTCCTATAAAGTGATCCTTATTTCAATTGAAGCCTTTATGAAGATATTTATAAATATCTGGATGAAACTTAAAGAAAAAGAAGAAAAAAAAGAAGGAAATGCCTATGAACACCTGACAATTTTGACCAGATGCAATTATTTATATATTTACAATATTGAGTGAGAGTGGAAATCTGAAAACAAAGTAAATGTTGCATATGACCAATAGCCATAGTCATCATTATGAAAGACATAAACAAATGTCTACCCTTCACAAACACTGCTGAAAATGGGTCAAATTATTTTAGATTTAAAAAAGCAGACAATTCCAATCAAATATTTCACTGTAAAGGGTATTTAATTGCAATTGCAATTACTATGCTTTAAAGGCTCTAGACATGCAACACATTAAGACACTGGGGCCACGTCCACATGAGCGTGGACATTTGGTTCCCTGGGGTCAACTAGCAGTGGCACACCTTGTGCCTGGCTGGCAGCTGGAGTGTGGCTCCAGCCAGCCAGACTCCAGTTCTGAGCTGTGCACATTGCCACCACGTGCACCACTCCACTTTATTTTTGCGTGGGTTTTTTTTATCCCTTGGATATCTAAGGGTCAACTTCCCACCCATCCTCTGCCCCCCTGCATAGCTCCCTTGCAGCACAGAGAGTAGCTGAATGTGCAGTATGTGGTGCCCCCAAGACGTGTCTGTGGTGTCGCATAGTGTACAGTCGTGCTCATCTGGACGCAGCCCGAGATGCTAGTGGTTATATGAATTCCCTAAAACAGAGAAAAGCCAACTAAAACTGCAATATTTAAGAGAGCTGATGGCTTAGAAAATGTATTTGCTTACCATTACTACATAGCATACCCTTATGCAAAAGAATATGAATATTAAGAGTACCCCTATCACACTTATATTCATTTCCTAAATTGAGAGGAGGCAACTTATAACGTGAATTCATTCATTATTGCCCAAGTCTTCCATATAGGAAATAATTGGCTTTAAAAAGAAGAAAAATAATCAGCAGCAAGTTATAATAGGAATGCTGTCTAAAGAATTAAAGTAAACTACCATACTTAAATTAAGTAGAAATATTTATTTTCATAAATTTGAAACTACGTGGTTCCATTTTTCTCAATCTGGTTAGCCTTGGTGCTAAAGATACTTTAATCTTTGATTTTGCTCCTTAATAAAGTTATAAATTAGAACTCCTTACTATGATTATGAAGCAGTTAATTATCACTAGCATTTAAAGGATGATCACCACATTGGGCACTGGGGCAACGCATCTTGCTGAATGGTGTAATTACTTCAGAGTCAAATCAGACCTTGTGCCAACATGGAAATTAAGCCATGGAACTTTTTGGATGTTGGCAGTAAGTAGATTAGCAATACCACAGAAAAACAAGCAATATTACAATAGAGACAAAAGTATACCATCACCAAGTATATTTGCTGCTTCATGAAAAATCCAGATGTTTAAATGCTATTATACAACATGAGACACATTTGTTTTTAATGACAAAAATCTGGACACCTATCACACAAATACATTTCCTTTACATTGTTCGCATCACAAGACTAAAATTTTCAAAAGCGTGGTGAGTAGAAAAGTCTATGTGGTCAGCCAACTTTCCAGATTAGTTACAGGTGACTTTGTCTATAGCCATTTCTTTCCCAATGTTTTATTTTAAGG